CTGTAAAAATTTCAGCATGAAATATTTTTATTGACTTTTTATGACACTTATGGTAAAAGACATGCTGTAAAAACATTTGTAATGGACCCTTAAATTGGAGCTCACAAAGGGTTAGTCAAAGGAATGTGCAGAGGAAGTATTGCGTGTGAGATACAATGTCTTTAGTTTCAAATTGCCAAAAAGGATTAAATTATTAACTGGCTAAGACATTTATAATTGTACAACTGCAGTCAAGGTGGAAAAACAAACACACACGTATGTATAAACACATTTTATGATTCCATGTGTGATGTCAGTAAAGTGAAGACTGTCTGGGTCTATTTCTTCTTGGGCTAATATATTTTTTGCAGCAGCTTTGAGCCCCCCCATTGAAGCAAAGTAACTTGGAACACTAATACATTGTTCCAGACTGAAAGTAGTCCTGACACAATCATAGCTCCCCAGTTGTTTATATCACTGAGCAGAAACTATCCATTACCTCCAGCATGGTGTGCCTTTTTCTAGTCCTGGTCAAACTCATATTGGTTTCTTGTATTAGAAGTGAGGCCGAGGTGAGACGGAGTTTGGCAAACTTTACAGAGCAATGGAACTATAAAAAAGTCACTGGGAGAATATCATCTGTTGTACTCTGTGTAACGATTGTCTGATGATGACTATAGGTTTGAATTAATTGGATTGCATTTATATGAATACTTAATAATAATAAGAATTCAATCATAATTTGTCTTTATTTCTCTGTCTAAGTGAAGATATATTTCTTCAGACTAGTCATTTCAGAATGAAAGTAGGCTTTTGGATGTTTTGTTGAAACTTCTGAACTTGAAGCTACACTGTGCAACTTATCTGATGAAGGGTCTGCCACCTCCATGGAAATGTTATTACTTTGTCTAGAATGTTGAACAGTATGACTTTAAACTTAACTACTTTTGCTTTATTCAGTAGCAACTGTGTTATTGCCTGCAAATACTTAGAAAAATATGTGTTCTTATAGTGAGCACGGTTGACTCTCCACAGATCTGACTTACAACTATAGACTTTAAGGAATCGCTCGTCTCAGTGAAGACTGTTTAAATGTAAAGCATTGCAGAGGAACATTCTAGGTATCTACTTGGAGACAAGCAGGTGGTGGTCCATTCATCTGAAAAATTACATAGTGCAAAAAAAAAAAGTTAAAAGCATTAAATTAAGGTACTATATGTGCTTGTGGCCAACAAGACCCGTCACGCTTTCAACTAGGTAAAAAAGTACCAACTCGTAACTGTCCAAATTACCGCTGTCCAGTGGTCAGATTGTTTACCATACCATTTTTGGCAACCCACATCACATAAATCACTGAAATAAGTCATTGGTGGTAAAATGCTTTATAAGGTGAGGTAAATTTGGCATTGGTCTGTGATTGCTGCCTCTAGTCTTGAGGGCTTTCCTGTGTAAGTGAGTGCCAGTGAGCTTAAGAGTGCTCTGGGCCTACCAAACGCCCCAGTCTGAAGTCAGCGCAGGCATTTCATGGGGTGTTAACTGTTTCTGAGACACTCTGGTGGGCAGCTCGTAGCTCCGTTTATGGAGTGTAAAACTTCAACTTCTGCATCCTTTTTTAACCTTCTGCCTTTGAGCCTGTGCTTTTGCTGTTATGTGATCGGTGTGACAGCTATTCTGTAAAGTTTCATGTGATGTGCAGTGAATCGCAAAGAGTGAGCATCGCAGGCTCTTCCTGTGTTGAATGAGTGACATGTTGTTGTGTGATTGAATGGACAGATGCTTGTTGGTGTTAAGATACAGTGCTGGCTCGAGGTGTTAGTGAGACGCCCCGGGCAGCCTTCGAGCCAGTCTTCGCTTTTGGAAGGCAGTCATCAGTCCGACTCTCCACCAGGCAAAATACCCCTCAGCCAGGGTGAATTCTTGTTTACCTGCACTGCCTATGCACTGCACACTGCCGGAAATGTTAACATGACCTGTGTGTGCAGGAGATGACATTTGGTAAACATGCAATATGCAATGACCCTGTCTAAAAATGCAATAGTACAATAACAATATTCTAATACCCTGCTTGCAGTTTTCGTCTGTGTCTTGCGACTGGGAATATTGCATTTACAGCTAGGAGATAACATATTTTTAGAATCATATCACAAAATTATTATGAATATACAGTTTTCATATATGACCAAAATATGCAATTTATATTTTATATATATATATCAAAGAAAGGTTACTTGTGTTGCTTTGCTTTTTGTGGGGAATCCAAGATCCTTATGGTGTCCATGATACAAAACTGAGTTAGCCCAAATATTATTCAAATTGTGTTCAGTACCCACCCAGTAATCAACAACCCCACAACTAATGAAAATCCAAACACAACCCCCATAGTGGATGTAATAAATTTACAAAAGATCAATTTATTACAAGGCCTTCTTGAGATCCTCTTTGTCCCCTTTCTTACCTTTGCAGCTAAGGTCAGAAGGACATCTGTGGTCAGCACGCGATGAGAGAGGAGTAGGCCGCAGACAGCTATTGTCATCAAGGTGTAAATAGATGGAAAAAAGGAGCCTGATTAGTAATAACACAGGCTCAGAGATAAAGGGCTGTGATGTGGACGGGGCCTGGCCTGACCAGTAAACAACCAGTGGGGAGTCGAAAAGGCCTGGGGATGAGCCCCAGGCTAAACCTGAAGGATTCTCTCAGCACCAGCTCTTTAAACAGAAGGTCATACACGCGGTCTGAACACACACGCACATTTGAGCTGTTTGGTTTGAATATTCTCACAACGCTGCTTTAAAAGGATTTATTTTGCACCAACACACAAAACACTTATTTGTTTTCCAATGGTCACTGATAAACAAATGATTCCTGTTTGCATATTTGACTTTTTAAAGCTTTTTCCTTATTTGATAATTCTGTTAATGCCTGTTTGTTATAGTGCTATTGTCTTAAATCTATTCTATCAATACTTTAACACTGATTGGACAGCACAGTTCTTACACCTGATCCAGTGTTGTCCAGAGCACAATACAGCAGGAGCACTGCACCACCAAACAAACTCAACATTTTGTCAAGAAGCTCTCAAGAAGTCCCATGGAAACACATATGTTTTATCTAGTGTAGCACTCTCCACCACTTTTTTGTTTTTTGGTATTTTTGTCTGTACTAACCTACTTTATGGTGACATTATGCCATCTTCAAACATTAAATGCGGTTAACCCAAAGGTCTGGACCACTGAAAGTTCACTAGAGCAGGCCACGTTCTTCATTGAGCGAGTGTAAGGTCATTGACTTTGGACCATGTTGATTGTAGAGCAGTAGGCCATCCACACTAACAGTTACACAGACAGCATGGCAGTGCTCAGACTGAACTGGTGCTAGACACTCAACACACTTCCTGCTACTTCCTAAGCTTGTCAGTCACCCAGAGAGGACGGAGTTTGATCTAAAACGAAAGCTACAGTTCTCATAGGGAGTGTATTGCGCCCTGCTTCCTCCTGGTCACTGTAATCTTTGGTGTCTCCTCAGAGTCAGGTGTAATCCGTCACACACTGCCACATTTTTGGACATTTCCTGTGTGCGTTGGTGGAAGTAAGCATATTACTTTGTCTGCAAATCAGAGCGCTCTCCTTTAAAAACACACACAGCCAATCAGACTTATCTTCACTCGAATTAAGACAGACAGGTGGATTGTCAGAAGAAAAGATTTAAAAAGAGGAAGAAGAAATGAAGATCGCTTTACATTTTTTTTCCTCTGTTTTGAAATAGCATGCACAGGGGGAGGGGGGATGCGGCGTCGTGGTGGGTGACTGTTAATGGCGAGAAATGAACGTTCCTGACTGGTGGTTGTGACAGGAAGAGACTGCTCTTAACAAGGCGTCAGAGTCCGTCATAGCTCCACATCCATCACTCCTCAGATGCACGCAGCCAGAAGGAGGAAGAGGAGGGGTGCATTTAAGGATATTCAGAGGGAGAGAGCCTGTGTGAAGGGTGGAGGAGAAGACGAAGACAGAGACGGCGAGGGGAAAAAGGGGGATTTGAGTGTGGCTGACAGCGTTGCATTTAATTTGGACTGCCAGAGCCCTTTTCATTTGACTTCCTCTCAACAGCTTATAGAGGCTGGGGAGGGCTGGAGGGTAGGGTTTGCCAGGATGTCTCAGATTAGGGCTGATGTGCCACGTCACACTTTAAGCCAGCCTGTAATTCATGTTCAACAGGGGGATACTCACACATTACACCGCACTGTGCAGGACGTGATTAATTGACTCACACTCTAATATTTGGTAATTTGCCCGTCCGCTGATGTGAAACTGACTTTATACTAGACTTACTGTATGTCGCCGTCCCAGGGATGTTATAATAGTCTCTGGGCAGGGAAATCTTCAAAATGCGGATAGAAACTCGTGGCTGTCACTGCTGGCACATTAGCTGAATGACTAGCTCTCTCCAATCACTAAAGGTTCCCCTATTCTGGGTTCAGGAAGGGCCTTTCTGTCTGCATGCTCACACCCATCATCCTTAAACTTGTAAATTAGGCTAATCCTTCTGCTAGGTACTCATATCAGTGTTGGGAAGAATACTTTGACAATGTATTTAAAATACTGATTACCTGCATTAAAATATATCTGAGTTGTGTTATATCGTAATATATCTATATCTATATATCTGTATATCCATATCTATCTATACTCTGAACACCAGCAAATGAAGGAGTAACTGTTCTGGGCAAACAATCAGGTATTGATACAAGCCAATACAGTTTTTCATTGACACTTTTTATTGATACTAACTGCTAGTTAACAGAATTATCAAGACCTGAACTGTTAAAGAACTGCTGAACTGTTAAAGATATGCCTGTATTGCTCTCTTGATCCCTTGTCATTTCAAAACTTACTGGGTTCACTCAGTGCATTTGAGGACAATCCATTCCGTTCACTTAGCTTATGATATTGATATGATATGATATAATCCTGTTGACACTTTTTTAACTAAGGATGTGCATTTTATTTATTTTTTATTTTTTTTAGACAAAGCTGTTTCTGGTGATGGTGGAGGATGATGGAACAGCAGGGGACAACCGGAGGGATATGGCAGAAACCTTACTGTCGGCTTTGACAGACAGACACCAGCAAAGACAGACATGGAGAGACAGGTAACACATTGTACCACCTACTCGTCCTTCCACTGGACATTCTCTACTTAAATGTTTAACACACATCAAACTATAACAGCTGCCTTTTTAGGCTTCACCCCAACTTAGCTCATAAAATGAAAAGTCTCATGAAGAAAGTTAAACGTGCATATGTAACTTTTACGGTGGATGGCCTGCCATTTACTTGAAATGATATTGCTTAACCGGGAATGTTCCACAATTTGGAATTACAGGTAGCTTTCCACCATTTATTCTATTGCATTCTTACTGTGAATAGAGTTGCTTCTCCACAGACATGGAGAAGTGTATATTAGCCTGAAGTCGTCACCTGCTTGTCCCCCAGAGATAGATTTAATACCATAGTATGGAACATTCCAGACAAAACAACAGTTGTTAAAAGTTTGTTTGAGCAATTATTGTGCAATATCTTTATTGCCCAGAATATTTTTTTTCCTGTTTATTTTTAGTGTGAGTCAGTCTTAATGAAAAGGCTGGCATGCTTTGACCTCCTTGATGTTTGTTTGTGGTCCATGGGCCTGGCAGCTATCACAGCTATCACAACGACACGTGTGTCTTGGATAAGCTTGGTCACTTCCTTCCTCCCTGATAAGGACTGAGAGGGCAAAGATGAGAACATTAGCCATCCGTGCAGATAAAGAAAGACGGGCCTCACACTAACATTCTGTGTTATTTTAGCTGTTCTTTCTCTCATCAACTCCGCCTCAGCTCCAGAAGAAAACTCACAAAATGAAATGTATGTAAATCCACATGTTTCACTATCAACAGTTTTGACCTCTGTGTCACATATGCTCACATTGTACAAGGGAGAAACCTGCAAGTGATTAGGGCAGAATGGAGTCTTCTCTTGGACGTATGTGTTATTGTTTTGTTCCATGGCGCCCCTCTGTTGTGAGTTGTCACCCTTAGCTGACCCCAGTGCAGTCCATCCAGATGAGTCTTGTAAACACTGTTTTTCCACATACCTTGCTTTGCTGTGTGGATGTCCTCCACCACCTCAGCTCTGATGTAGGCCTAGCCCCGATAGTACATTCCAGCTGCAGGTGCTGAAAGCTACAAACCATTGCACCCTATAGACACACACCCTCCTGCTATCTTCCACCACCCACAATGCAACAGTACCACCTACTAGACATGTTTAACCAGGGATGGCGCAGAGCCCTCCCTTAGATGCTCCGATGTGCAGAGGAAATGCTGAGTTTGTCAACGGGCAGACAGACCTTTACCCTATCAGCAGTGAAAGACTGATTAGATTAGTTTGGGAGGGGGGCAAATGTCTCACACAATGTGTTTGAACTCCAGCTGCTCCCAATATCTCCCCTCTCCTTTAAACACACGAAATGTCTGGCCAAGCCTCCAGCGTCCCCTCTCACAAAAAAGCAGGGGTCATACTGTCAAGTGGCTGTCAACAGATAGCATTAAACAAAACTAAACACATGGCTGTATGTAATGTTAAGTGAGACACACTGATATTGATTGAATGTGTTCAACACATGATGAGGATTGATCTGAAGAGAAGATAAATATAATGCTTTAGTTGTTTAGCCAGTTTTTTGGTTAGTGATGCTGTTTGTATAAAAGGATTTGTTTGGATTATAGGCAATAATATATGGCTGAATTTAATTTGTGTTTCATTTAACTTCAGTGAAATGCATCTAATCCTTTATTTTCATAAAAGCTCTCGAAAAACAAATTAATTTGCTGATTCATTTTCTCCCTTTTTATAACCGGCATCCTAATTAGGTTTCCTTCCAATATGCAACAGGCAAGCTTTTATCATTATACACTCTCTTTTCTATGGTCCTCATTCAGAGCATAATACTTGCAAAAGCGAGAAAATAAAAAATAAAGGACGCATGATTGATGACTCTAGCTTGCGGCACATAAACATAAACAAGCAGCACTGATTGATTACATTTCTGGCTGACTTTTGTTTCTTAAACACCGGTTAAAGCTGTGCACTGGAACGTGGCTCTGCCTGCTGCTGCTCCTACCTCTGGGGCATTTTAACACTAGCGAGAGCACAGAAGAGAAGAGAAATTGGACCTGTTGACCAGTGTTTTTTTCACTCTGACTTATAGGCACTCAGAGTGAATGATGCTGCTACTCGCCTGCACGCTGCAGCAGTCCATTCATTCAGTCCAACAAAGTTATGAGAGCTTTTTTATTCTTATGAGCTTTTCTGGTAACTGGGTTTTCCCGATGCACAACGCGCAGTCTTTGATAGATGCTGCCCTCTGTGTCCCTTCGGTATACGCCTCGTGAGTACCATGGAAATAGATGAATTATTATGTGTGTGGTGATTGGTCTATCGCAGAGTTGAGCCACACAGGAAGTGTAGACTGAAGAGAGCAGCACAACCACCAGGGAACAGACTGTCCATAGCTTTTATTTTGCATGTAAATTATACACAACAACAATTTTACTTAATACTTATTATTTACATTTTACTCTGCACTAATCAGATCTAAAAAAAAAAAAAAACATATAAAAGAAATAGATGCACTAAAAAATTTGAACCCAATATGATACAGCATAAGGCTATCTGATGCATTTTACTTGCAGAGAAACCTGTTGTTGAGTTGACCTTAGCCGGTGAAGTGGCCCCTACACTGACCATCTAAAAAGCACCAAAAAAGCTTTGTCACAGGCGGCGAGCAAACACTGAGGGGAACAGCTGTGAGTTTTGTACTGACCATGCAAACTGCTGTAGGCTTTGTAAGGTCATTATATGATAATGAAAATCATTACAGAATTACATGGGGGTTTAGGACATGAGAGCAGTGGGAAGGGGAGGGGATGGCCACATTGGGTTTGATAAATGGACTGTGAAGGTGCCCATCTGGCCCTCTATGGCTTTTTCTTCCTGCTCTTTTATCCACTCCTGTCCTTTACTACCCCTCTTTCATTCCTCTCCTCTGTTCTCTCGTGGATGGGTTTTGAAAAGCGGGCAGACCTGTAGTGAAAGATTAACAGAGTGCAAACCCGGCTCACCTCTGTGGAGGAGAAAAGAAGAGGGGGCAGACTGAGATGTTTATGACCCAAAGCGGGGCTTTGTGCCTGGCTGGCCTGACTCTGTCTTCCCATCTCTCAGTGTGGGCTGGTAGAAAAGTAGGCAGCTATTGACCCCTTGACTTAGAAAATGGTTGGACACCTTGGGGAGCCGTGAATCGAAGATCTATAGGTATCATTAAGAGAAGCACAGATTTTAAGCTTTAAAGCTTTGAGCTTGTGAAATATGTATCAATCTGATTCTCAAAGTGTTGACTTTAAAAGAGTTGATTTTAACATAGAGAAATTGTGGTGTATTGGAAGTCTAAAAATGCTCTGCCAGATCACACTCCATTAACGAAGCTTTTCTTATTCCAAATGGCTAAGCATTAGTCTGATTGCTTTTTAAAGATCTTTCCCTTTTGCTAATTGTCCTTTACTTTCGTAGCAGTGTCTCTTGAATAGTTGTACACTGGTTGCATGTGTCATGCTACATCTGTTGCCTCTGTTTATGACTTTTCCCAGCTTGTTGTGACTTAGTGAAGACTTTATCCCAAGACAAAGACAACATCAGCTGACATGGCAGACTGAGCCATTGGACAGGGAGTCAACAGAGTCAACAGTTGCACTCATCACTCAACTGTCCAGCCTGACCTTTGACCTGCCTGGCCTTTATGTTTCCTTCTATTGTCATCCTTTCTTGTCCTCACCTGGACAGGGTACTGCTGCACAAAAGACCCAGTCTGTCATCAAAACCCAGGGTCAGCGAAGGCCAGTGTAGGCCAGCATGTTTAGGCTGAAGCTTGCATGACCAAGAATGACCTCGCCAATGCTGTCAACTACCAGTTGCACCCCTGTGGAGGTGCATAGAGACACACAGAAAAAGAGAGGGACCTTCGTCGCCTTGCATTTCTAGGGGTGGTGATGAGTCTTTTGTGTCGTCTCTGACAGACACCACCCCCATCCCAACACATGGGTGGACCCAGACGTTAGTGGACAAAAGAGGTCAGCTGTCCCAGATGGGATGGGAAAGATTGTAAGCGTCATATTGTCGATGTAATCAAAGATAGACAATGTATAGCCTTGTTTAATGTGACCTCCAAATCACAACTGATGAGCTCCTCTCATAGACAACCATCTTTTTATAATGCTGCTCTGGGTTCAGTGCTTCAGTGGGTTTCAGTGTTTTAATAATGTTAGTTTGCAAGTGTCTCTCTGCTTGTTATCATAAACCTGGGTTCCTTGGGTGGGCAGGAGGTGGATCTCTGTGCTGTAAGGTGTAAGCTGAGGTGACAGCTTCATCAGATTTCTCAGACTGTGGCCTCACGTTTGCCTCAGCATCACCCCACAACAGCCACCCTGTGTTTTGGACGCAAAGCCTGCTTGCCTTGGCCTGCATTGTCTGCCAATTTTTGCTCGCAGTGCCCTTGTTTCTCTTATCTCAGGGCTTGTTTACAAAAGTGCTTGAAACACCTGTGTGGTAACTGGGACTTTTGTTATGTATGTTTTTTCTGTACCATTTTAACAACCATCAACATCAGAGTGTTTACCCAGTTCAGGACTCAGGACAAGACAACAAATAAGGACATGTCATCTGTCTCTCTGATCACTGGCCAGCTTGTAATTAGCCCAAGTTCAGTGGTTAGCCTAAGACAGTGTCGTCTAATTTGTCTGTCTTTATCTCAAACATGTCTGTGTGGTCCCGCGACGTGCTCCACAGTGCAGTTAGATAGCCTGTGGCCTGGGTGTTTGTGAGGTGTGTGTTTGTGTCTTCTTGATTATAAATTATGAATAGCTCTCTCATGCATCCGCCCCTGTTTAGCAATCAGTCAGTTATGCATGACATTCCCTGACCTCAGTCGTACCTCACAGCTGCTGTGTCCTCTTTGCTTCCAGGCTGGAACATACATCCGGCTATGTCTTTTCTGCAGGAATGCACTTTGGACAAGACAAATGATTACACTTTTACTTTACCTTACACTTACAGCTCT